GGCGTCATTGCCAGCCGCGGAATGGGAGGGGAGGGGAGCCCAGGAGGGGGCTCCGCACTGCAGCCGAGGGGCCTGGGCGAGGGAGGAAACTGAGGCTGCCTTTCCGTCACACCGCCCCTCTTTCTGGTACAAGGGCCCCTTTTGCAATGCGCCAGAACCTAACTGGGCGCCTCTTCTCTTAGTCCTCTCTGCGCGGGGAGAACGCCACCGTCTTTGCCTGCTTGAACCACGAGGTCCCCTTGGCCTCCGAAGAGAATTCCACGGTCACCTGTGAGACAGGTAAGGGCCCGGTGGGGGGGGGCACCCTCCTGCACTGTTTTTGGGGCCTCCGCAGATCCCCATTTCTGCAGTGGTGGGGGAAGCTTCCAGAGGGGAAGGCAGGTCATCCGGGGGTGGGTGGGGGTGGTGGGGCGAGGAGGGCCAAGCCTGTGGGCCACTCTCTTGCTGACCTCCTGCCTTTCCTTGGCAGAGCTGCTGGCGGGATTCCTGCTCTCCATCCATGCCAAGGCCCCCCTTGCCCGCCTGCGAATCCCCTACCCACAGACGGGGAGCTGGTACCTGAGCCTGCGCTTGCTCTGCGCCACGGACAGGGGGTAAGGCCGCTGAGGCAGCTGAGCAGCAAACTGCCCCCCAACGCCCCCCCCCCAGCCCTTCCTTCCCTTCTCTTGACAAGACTCGTTAGGCGAGATAAAGGAAAGAGCTTAGGGCAGCCCAGGGAGGCTGCCTTCAGCCGCTCTGCCACCAGACCTCTCTCTGACCAGAGCCAGCCGGCTGCCTGGTCCCAGGCCCCCCCCTCCCAGGGCATCACTTCTGAGGACTCCGCCTCAGCTGAGGGAACCCAGGAAAGGGTCGCCGGAGGTGACAGCCCATAGCCATGCCCAACATCCTAGTGTTGGTTCAGGCAGGTTCCACCCTGAGTCCATCTTCTTTTCTTTTCCCAAAAGAGGAAGCCACCTTAGTGTTTTTTAAGGCATGGGTGCCAAACCCAAAACAAGACACAGGATGGTGTCACCCTCCTTGAAAAATCCCCCAAGAGTCGGTCCTTTAAATGGCTTCCCGTTGATTCTCCAAGACTTGGGCAGGGCACAGGCTTAGACACCACCCAGGGAGAATGAGGTACAGCCCCCCCCCCAGGCCTTTTACTCCGAGGCACCCCCCAGGCCACTCCACCCCCTGGATCCTCCCCCACTCCCCGGGACTCCAGGGGCCATGGCTGACTTCCACCGCTTCTTCCCTCCGAGGCTGGAGCCCTGTGGGAACGTGACCGCAGAGGTGTACCTGCGCACCTACCTCTCGCCCTGCATCAACGACTGTGGCCCTTACGGGCAGTGCAAGCTGATGCGCACCAACAACTACTTGTATGCTGCCTGTGAGTGCAAAGCTGGTGAGTGGGGCAGGGAGGGAGGGAGGGAGGGAGGGAAACCGGCCGGCTGGCCGGATGGTCTGCTGCCCGGCTGTCACTCTGCCATCATCCTCAACTGAGCCAGGCTCTGTCCAGGATGCCGGTGGGGCCGAAAAAGAAAGAAAAAAGATCCTCAGCGCCTGGGGAGGTGCTGAGCCTTGCCTCCGAGGCCCAGGTGCCTGGAGCAGGCTGCGTTTACTCAGGGCTAAGGGCACGGCCTTCTGCCCGTGTTTAGGGACCTTGCCTTGCTCTTTCCTGGTACGATCCAGGGCTGATCCAGAGCATGAAAGACCAGTTCCAGCTGGGAGCACTGGTGCAAAGGGAACGCCATCCTCCGTGAAATGACTCCAGGGTTCCTCTCCCACAGAGCCAGGGGTAAAAACAAACTTCGGGGGGGGGGTTTCCCCAACAGAGGGAAACCATGAGAGGCCAAAATGCCCCAAATAGTCTTTGAGTGGGAAAAGCCTGTGGTGACCCCCAAGCAGTGTCCTGCAAACAGACCTCAGGTTCATTGTACCAGTCTGGAGCATCTATTTTCACTTATTTCGTTCATGAAATGTCTATGCCGCACCATCTATTATTATTATTATTATTATTATTATTATTATTATTATTATTATTGCCTGGTTCAAGAGCCTGGGCACTTAACACTTCCAGGCACAGGAGTGGTGGTGGCAGTTGGGAGGACAGGAAGGTTCTCTCTCCCAAGGGGGCTCAGGGGAGACCCTTCTGAGTTAGGACCGGTGGCCCCTTTTTTGTGCAAAGGCATGGTGCCCCCCCCACTCCCCCCGCCTGGTAGCTTGCCAGAGTGCAGGCTGGAGCCTCCGTTTGTTCC